CCAAAAAAAAAAAAAAAAAAAAAAAAAATCGATTTTCGGCAGTGAGGTCAAAATTGAAACGGATTCCACCTTTTGCAGTAGCCGATGCAGATCCCAGGGCTTGATTCCTAGTCCTCACTTCACCTGTGTACAGTATCTGAGTCGACCCTGAGAGGTGTAGGGGTTCGATCTGTAGACCTGTCGTTTGTAGGTCTTAGCAGGTCCTAGGAGTCGTAGTTGTAGCTCCTCCGAAGGGTCAAAGTCGTAGCTGCTGTATTCCTGAAAGGTCAAGGTCGTAGCTGCTACGGTACCGAATGGCCAAGCCTGCGGACTTCCGGAAGGTCCGGAAGTGGCCTTTCGGAGCTTGCTCACGTTTAGACAGAGGCAAGTGGGCAAGTGGCGAGGCCAGCTGCAGTACGTCGGCAGCGTGACTGCAGCGAGTTGGCAATACGTCCCCATGCAGTCAGTGGTATCAGTCCCAGTCAGTCAGGGTCCAGTCAAGCAAGTACCGTGTGGGACTGTGTGCACCCAGGGCATGGGAAAGGGGCAGACCAACGAGCTACAGAAGTATAAAGCAAGAGGCAGCGACCAGTCATTCATTCATTCGCTGCGTAAGCCATGCGGAAGCGCTGCTACAGCGTCTTGTGCGAAGGTGGTCTGCAGGTGGCCCGAAGACGAAGAGGGCTGAAGGGAGATCGCAGCCATAGTCAGTAGTGGTAGTGCGGCCATAGCCGCTGTAGGAGGAAGTGAGATTAAGCGTGTGTGTGTGGTGGTATTCAGGGTGATCCAGAGTGAGCGCGTGTGAACAGTGGGGTTGGACACAGTGACGAAGGTTGGAATGTTCAGGCGCCGATGCGCCATAGCCTGTTGAAGTGAACTTGCATCTGAACAGTGTTCTTGATTTCCATATCTCTAAGCTTTGAGTGGGCGCCCTGCGCCAGTGTGAATCTCCATCTGTTTGTGCAATGACTTGCTGATTTCGACTGCCGAGACTAACCGTGAGGCTGTACAGTACAGCAGTACGGTAGATTCGTAATTTTGTTTGGCTGAGGGCTAACCGAGAGACCTACCTGTAAAGAAAATTCGTGAGGGACATATCTGCAAATATGGGAAAAATAGGCCCAGCAGTACTTCGAATTTCCTACAGCTATCCTCACTGCGTTTAGCAGGCCCGGGCTACCCSTAGGACAGACAGGCCCTAAGGGCCTAAGCTGATAGACGGTCCTATAGCCTATAGCCGGGTCCGGTAGAGGCCGAGAGGCCGAAACCGAAACGGTATCGGTCAGTCAGTCTGGTCTAGGTCTAGGCTAGAGTAATAGAGTCTATTAATAGTTTGGGGGGATCGTGTTGGGACCTTTTGGCGATTCATTTTCTCGATGCCGCGTTTGGAGCCAGGAGAGTTTTGGAGCGGCGATTGTCTGCAGGCGGCACCCTGAGACCCTCACCGCGGACAGCAGCCATAGCCAGCCTGTTGAGGACTTGCCATAGCTGGGGCATCCTCTGCTCACCAACCCCTATGGTTTCCTGCGAGTGGCCGGGCTGTGTGAAGACTCTTCATTGAGTCCTTGTGGGTGGCGGCAGCCATAGCTGCCGATTTTTTGTTAGAGTTGTTCAGCGACACTGAAGACTTCATCGCAGGATCTGTTCTTCATCTGGGTGGTTGGCGCTGGCCTCTGGGAGGCCATGCTGATGTGGCGCTACTAACTAGGTGTAGGGTAGAGAGTGGAGTGTGAGGTTCGGAGAGTGGCGAGACACAGGAACAAACTTTGTAACGATTTTTTGGTTAATTGGCTCAGTGTGTATTCCAATTGTTATCCTCGCAGGTTCTTCCTTGTGATTGGTTGTTGGGAGTATCGTCAGAGATTGAGAAACACTGTGTGTCCTCTCCCCATCTGTGCATGGCTGTGCTTCCGCTATCTACCTTGATCTGTGTGCAGTTTGGACTTTGTCTCCTCTCCCCCTTCTCTTATGCATGTTTGGGCGCGTATGAGACTGTCTGTGTGTGAGTGGCGGTAAAAGTCGTCAGACAATCAAGTTCATAACAGTTGGTATCGGAGCGAGATTGGAATTGGAGCACTGAGGGTTGAGTGCAACGGGCAGCTTCTTCATCTGGTGACATACTGGCGAGAGCTTCATGGCGATTTATTTTCCCCAGTACTGAGTCAGCAGGGAAGAAGACTTCAAGCGGTGGACTCAGGAGTTCAGTGCTTGCACTGAGCAAGCGCACTAAGCCTGTCAGGGCGCTTGTTTGAAAGTGGCAAGAACAGGGTCAATTCACCATTGCCAACACTGAGGGTAGTGTAGCGAAGTACCCCTCAGTGGCGAATTACCCCTAAAGACTTCAGGGATCGCGGAGCAGCTTCATCCCTAGGTAGCGCTGAGGGAGATTGACAGTCTGTGTCAATCTCAAGGGGAAATAACCCCATCTGGGGCTATTTATAGCATCAGCGGATCTCAGGTCCTGTGGTGAGATTTTATCAGTTGGCGTTTTGGGGTGCCACAGGGTCAGATTCAGTGAATCTGACAAAAGGAAGTGAAGCACTTCAGGATCCTGAAGAGGATCAACAAGATTGGAGAAGTTTTGTGCGTGGAACAGGGAGGAGAAATTTCTGGAAGAAATGGGCGAGATGAGGGTTTCAGTCTGCCATAGCCAGATCTTCATCAACCTCTGCAAGATACTATGAAAATGAGTCCGTTCCATGCACCTACCTGTATAGCGATTCAGATAGGATTATATTAGTCAGTAATTATGGTCTATCTGTCTACCAGTGACTGGATATGAAAATCGCAAACTGACAACCATAGCCATCTCTCTCCTATCTTCCTCTGCTCATTTCTTACCCTCTGCTGACTCTTTTTTATCCAAAATTGTTTTATGACTGCTTGACTGTATTGCGATTGATCCTGGATTTCCAGACTGTGAATTCTGTACTGGAAAAGTAGTGATACTGTGAATTGCAGTTTTGCACTGAGTTTATTTATAGCCTGTGCTAATTAGGGACAGTCATAAGTCCAATTTTGACCGTCAGAATTCAGTTCTGTCGGTTCCCAGTAAATCGCAATTCAAAAATAGTCATCACTGTAGAATCGTTTGATGGGATTTCTAGTATTTCACTGGATACAGTGAAAAATGTACTTCGCCATACCCTAGGGTACGGCCACCAAAGTCATCAGGGATGAAAATTGAGTCTGAGCTAGGATTCAGGGTTTCTGACTGGATCGCTCTGGTTGTTTGATCCTTCTTATCTATGCTTGCCCTTTTCTTTCATTCTCACTGATTACTCTTGTTTTCTAGTGGGCTATGAGAATCTAGTGTTCCTCTGGAAGAGTAGTGGACTGTCTCTACTAACTCCAGTGTGGTGCAGGGTCAGTAAAAGGAAACCGTGTGTTTGATTGTGCTGGACTAACTGTCTGTCTGACCTCTGACCCCAGAGAAACCATTCCAACCCTAACCGTTTGTTGCCCATTTACCCACCTGACTTCTGTGCATGAGTTGGCAGCGATTTTTGAGTGCCTGAAGGGATCTGCATATCGCTGCATACTCTCTGCTGTTTGTTTATTTTTGAGTGTTCTGAAAGAGGAAAATGGTTAATCAAGTCCCTTAGCAGCAGCCACAGGTGGAAGTAGTAATGAAGGTAGAGGGTGAGCAGCCTGCTACCTCCACTCCTACTACTCCTTTGACTGCTACTCAGCGAAGGAAGAAGGAGATTCAGGAAAGATTGCAGCAGGAACAGGCCCTGCTTGAAGAGTTGGAGAGACAGGAGGCAGCCAAGCTAGAGGCTGCAACAGATGCTTCGCGAAAGGAGTATCTGTTGGAGCAGCTAGACAAGGTTGTGTATGATGAACGTTGTGCACAGGTGACAAGGAATCTGACGGAATGGGCCATTATGGAAAACAAAACCACCAGTTCCTATTTCACTAACTGGGATGACCGCATAGGTCGTCTGGAGCACAGGGTGGATGACCTGGCAGCTCAACAGTCTAAGATCCCGACAGCAATCCAAGATCTGACTGCTCAGCTGACAGCAGCCAAACTGATCACTCCCCTGTCTCCTGTCCTCTCAGCAAAACCCAAGCCTTCTCCTTCTCTTCCTTCAACTTCCTCCGGATCACGTCATTCTTCCCCTTCACCACCTCCTTCCCAAAAAGCCACAACCCAGCCATCTTATGCATTTGTTGTTGCAGGAGACCAGAGAGGTCCCAAGATCCCAGTTCCCAACAAGTTCAGAGGGGATGACCCAAAGACTGATGTTGGGGACTGGGCTACTGGGACCAAAGCCTACTTGAGGGGCTTTGTCTGTGCAGAGCAGACTAAGGTGGCCACGATTATGGGACTGCTGGAGGGACCCGCTTTAAAGTGGGCCACTTCAACTTCCAGCAGTCTGCAGCAGTCCATGGAGGACTGGGCTTTTGGGCTGGGGGTGGACAGACTTTTGCAGGCCCTAGAGGACCGCTTTGCAGACAAGGAGCAAGCCCGCAAAGCTACTGACAAGATTGCTCGCTTGGGGCAGCAGCGCTACAGCGGTACCCTGCAGTCCTTGTTTGCAGAGTTCGAGCAACTTACCTCTACCCCTGGGTTGGTCATGTCCACTGATGATCTGCTGACCAACTTCTGCAGGGCTGTGTCTGAGAAGTTTGTTGTGGCCTTGTATAGCGCTGGGCACAAGGACCGGAGATCCTTTGGCCGCGCAGCCCTGGACATGGAGGCAAAACTTCATGTCCAAGCCCCCTCCTCTGACAAGAGGAAAGGTGCCTTCCCTTGTGGTGATAGAAAGGGAAAGGCAGCCTTTACACATGGAGGATCTGCGTCAGCTTCTTATTCAGATTCCCAGGCTGATACACCATCAGCTGGGACTGGACCAGCTGCTGAAACCGATGTCGCAGCGGCCCTGACTCAGGCTGTTTTGGGATTCCTGCAGCAGCAGAAGAGATTCTCTCCCACCACAGCCTCAGCCAGTGCAAAGGGGAAGGACAGGGGACGTTGGTCTTCCTCCTCCCAGCGCCCTAATTTACCCAAAGACGTCCATATGCCAACTGACCCACTCAATCCCTCCACTCTCCCCTAGCATGACCTCAAGATCCAGGAGGGAGTGTGGAGAAGAAGAAAGGAACGAGGGGTCTGCCTGCGATGTGAGGGCCAGACTTTTTAAAGGACTGCCCTTACATGCCAGGCCCAGGACAGTCAAAAAACTGAAACAGACCCTGGGGACTGCAGTTCCCCCCAGTGCTGCACCTTCATCTACTCAGGTAGGTGAACCTGCAGCTGTTTCAGTTGAAACCGATTGTGTGAGTTTGGGGACTGCGAGAGGATCCTGACCTGGATCAGGACCCGGGGCAGGATGAGCTTCAGTCACTTGATGCCTTCTTCTTCCAGCTGAAGAAACAGAAGAAGCACAAGTCTGATCTCATCCTACTTCGGCCCTTGATCAACCACATCAGGATCAAAGGGTTATTGGATTGTGGAGCCACAAGGAACTTTATATCTCCCAGTGTTGTTAAGAAACTGCATCTGGGGATGAAAGTTCAGCAGCTGCAGCAACCTCTGCTGGTCAGGATAGGTGACTCCACAGTGCTCACCATCAAGGAGAAGGTCCGGGGTATCCCCGTTACCTTCGACAGCGCTGGAGAAGTCAGACATAGTCTGAACTTCTACATATTCCCTGACCTAACCTTTGACCTGGTGTTCTCTGTGCAGTGGTTGAAGGCAGTCAACCTAAGGATCGACTGGCAGATCCCAAAGGTTGAACTACCTAACAGACAAGGGGTGTATCAGCCATGCATGATTGCTGCTGATGACTTCTTGCTACTGCCTGAGAGCGAGGGAGTTCTATTCTCTCTCGCGCCATTATGACCATGAGCGTCTGTTCATAGCTCTGGTCAAGCAGACTGACGCTCCCACTGTTTCCTGTCCTCCTGAGATACAACAGGTTGTGGATCAGTATGCTGATCTGATGCAGGAGCCCTTTGGGTTACCCAACTGGCCAACCAAGCATCACATTGAGCTACTGCCTGGAGCGGTCCCTCCCAAGGGCCGCATCTACAGGATGTCCCCTGCTGAGCTTGAGGAACTCAGAAAGCAGCTTGAGACCCTTACCAGCAAAGGCTGGATCAGACCCAGCACTTCTGAATTCGGTGCACCAGTTCTCTTTGTTCCCAAAGGGAATGGCGAGTTCAGAATGTGTATTGACTATAGGGGTCTCAATAAGATCATTAGGAAGAGTACAGAGCCACTTCCTAGGATCGATGACCTTCTGGATATGGTGCAGGGCTGCACAATGTTCAGCAAAGTCGACCTCAAATCTGGGTACCACCAGATTGAGATGGCAGAGGAGGATGTCTATAAGACAACCTTCAAGACCAGGCATGGTACTTACGAGTTCCTGGTCATGCCATTTGGACTTTGCAACGCCCCAAGTACCTTCCAAACAGAGATGCATCGCATTTTCAGGCCTTACCTTGAAAAGTTCATGGTTGTCTACCTGGATGACATCCTGGTATTCAGCAGAACTGCCAGGGAACATGCAGAGCACTTGGCTCTTGGACTTCAGTCATTACGTGACAGCCAGTGTAAGATTAACAGAGAGAAGTCCTCTTTTGGAGTTCTCTCTGTCATCTATCTGGGTCATGTAATCTCTGGAGATGGTCTGGCTCCTGAAGCAGCCAAGATAGCTGCTATTCAGGAGTGGCCACAACCACAGACAGTGAGGGATGTCAGGTCCTTCATGGGCTTAGCCTCATACTACAGGAAGCTTGTCAGGAACTTTTCTGCAGTGGCTGCACCCCTGACCAACCTAACAAAGAAAGACACTCCTTTTTCTTTGGTCCCTCCCCTGGCAGTTGGCCTTCACATGACTCAAGGAGGCCTTGACTCGTGCACCAGTGTTGAAGTTGCATGACCCCACCCTACCATTTATCCTGACCACTGACGCTAGTCAATATGGCATTGGGGCAGTTCTTCAGCAGGATGATGAGAATGGTCTACACCTGTAGAGTTTATGAGCAAGAAAGAGCTATATGCTCTTGTCTATGCCCTGAAATATTGGAAGCACTTTTTCCTGGGAAGACACTTCAAGATCTTCTCAGATCACTCCACCTTACAGTGGATGAAGTCCCAGGGAGAGCTGAATGATAAGTTGGCACGGTACATTCAGTTCATAGACATGTTTGACTTTGAACTGAAACATAAGAAGGGCTGCTACAATAAGGTAGCAGACGCCCTCTCTCGTAGGCCTGACTCTTTTGCATTGATCTCCTTTACTCACTCTTTTGGAGAGGAGACCTGTCAGACCATTGCTCATCTACTACCTCAGGACCCGACTTTTGGACCCATAGTCAAGAATCTGCAAGCAGATGCTAACTCTGAACAGGGCTATGCTCTTAGTTCATATCTGTTGTACACTTACAACAAAGGGGAGGAGCGCTTGTGCATTCCTCAGGACCAGCGGCTCAAGACACTACTGATGTCAGAGTGTCATGACGCCCGTGGACATTTTGGGTTCCTAAAGTTATATGCAGCCCTGTCGCAACGCTTCTTTTGGAAGGAGATGCAGAGTGATATGCTGCGCTATGTGGAAATCTGCGAGCTTTGCCAAAGGAATAAGGTCCAGTGTAGGCCTCCTCTGGGACTGCTCAAACCCTTACCCATACCTGATGGCCCTGCTGAATCTGTGTCGATAGACTTCACAGATTTAGGCAAGACCACCCCTCGTGGCATGCGTCAGGTTATGGTATGTGCGGACAGGTTTTCCAAATACGCAGAGTTCATCCCCTTGCCAGAAGTGGCCAGAGTTCTGGTTGTGAGAACAGCCTTTTCAGAGAGGTGGGTCACACACCATGGACCGCCCACTTCTATAGTCAGTGATAGAGACCCCCGGTTTTGCAGCGATGAGTGGCAGTCCTACTGTAAGGACTATCTGCACTCACGATTGGACATGACTTCAGGCCGTCATCCTGAAGCCAATGGTCAGGCTGAAGTGATGAACCAAGTCTTATTCCAATTGCTGCGTCCTATCATCTCTTCATATCAGCAGGACTGGGATCTTCACTTGGCTCGAGCACAACTTGTTTATAACATGTCTGTCCATTCCTCGACTGGGTTCGGTCCATACCGGTTGCACTGGGGACGTGAACCACGACAGCCTCTCGATGATATCATCGATAAGGCGAAGTCAGACCTGACACCAGGCACCGCAGAGTTCATTAGACGCTACCGCTTAGATGTGGAAAGAGCACGGGCGAACTTGTTCAAAGCCCAAAAGGCAATGATTGAACAAGCCAATCGCCACAGGCGGCCTTCCCCCATCCGCACTGGTGAGTATGTCTGGGTAGCCAGTTCTGAGTTGTCGAGGGAGGAAGATATTTCCCCCAAGCTATTGCCACGTTATCTGGGTCCATGGTAGGTTTTAGATACAGTGGGCACTGACCCCTTTGGTCCATCCTATGTCATTGACGTCCCACTGCATCTACGGACCTACCCGGTCTTTCATGGATTCAAGCTGTTGTCGTTTACCCCAGCTGATGCATTCCCTGACCGGCCCGCTCAATTTGGTCCACCGATCCCTGGCAAGGGATATGACGTGGAATGGATTGAGGATGAGTGGGGCACAGGTCCCGATCGACAGTATCTTGTGAGGTTCGCATTCCAGCCTCCTTCTGAGAACAGATGGTTCTACAGAAGGGAACTTCTCAAGACAGCAAAGTCAATTGTTTTATGATATGAAGTGACTTAGAATGGCAACCTTCCTCGCAGTTCACCACGTCTACATCCCTAGCTCGGAGGTCCTCGCTCCCCGGGGGGTAAGCCTGCAATGACTTGTTGATTTTGACTGTCGAGACTAACCGCGAGGCTGTACAGTACAGCAATAGGGTAGATTCGTAATTTTGTTTGGTTGAGGGCTAACCGAGAGACCTACCTGTAAGGAAAATTCGTGAGGGACATATCTGCAAATATGGAAAAAATAGGCCCAGCAGTACTTCGAATTTCCTACAGCTATCCCCACTGCGTTTAGCAAACCCGGGCTACCCCTAGGACAGACAGGCCCTAAGGGCCTAAGTTGATAGACGGTCCTATAGCCTATAGCCGGGTCCGGTAGAGACCGAGAGGCCGAAACCGAAATGGTACCGGTCGGTCAGTCAGTCCGGTCTAGGTCTAGGCTAGAGTAATAGAGTCTATTAATAGTTTGGGGGGATCGGGTTGGGACTTTTTGGCAATTCATTTTCTCGATGCAGCGTTTGGAGCCAGGAGAGTTTTAGAGTGGCGATTGTCTGCAGGCGGCACCCTGAGACCCTCACCGCGGACAGCAGCCATAGCCAGCCTGTTGAGGACTTGCCATAGTTGGGGCATCCTCTGCGCACCAACCCCTGTGGGTTCCTGCGAGTGGCTGGGCTGTGTGAAGACTCTTCATTGAGTCCTTGTGGGTGGCGGCAGCCATAGCTGCCGGTTCTTCGTCAGAGTTGTTCAGCGGCACTGAAGACTTCATCGCAGGATATGTTCTTCATCTGGGTGGTTGGCGCTGGCCTCTGGGAGGCCATGCTGATGTGGCGCTACTAACTGGGTGTAGGGTAGAGAGTGGAATGTGAGGTTCTGAGAGTGGCGAGACACTGGAACAAACTTTGTAACGATTTTTTGGTTAATTGGCTCATATTGAGTGTGTATTCCAATTATTATCCTCGCAAGTTCTTCCTTGTGATTGGTTGTTGGGAGTATCGTCGGAGAGTGAGAAACACTGTGTGTCCTCTCCCCATTTGTGCATGGTTGTGCTTCCGCTATCTACCTTGATCTGTGTGCAGTTTGGACTCTGTCTCCTCTCCCCCTTCTCTTATGCATGTATGGGCGTGTATGAGACTGTTTGTGTGTGAGTGGTGGTAAAAGTCGTCAAACAACCAAGTTCATAACATTTGCATGTATGTGAAGTGGAAATGAAAGTGAGTCTGATTGCATTGGTATCGGAGCTGGTTCCCTCTATCCCATGCGCCATCGCCGTTGCAGTAGGAGAGAGACGCGCGTCGTAGGGCGCCATAGTTGAAGAGCGTCGTTGAAGAGGAAGTCCACCATAGTTGCGCTGCGGAAGAAGGTGTCGTGTACCTACACAGAAGGCAACGACGTTGAGAGAGAGAGTGGGAGAGAGAGAGAGAGAGAGAGAGAGAGAGAGAG